AGAGAAAACATGTCACTACAACTCTCCTTAACAATGTCTACCAGCAATATTTGTTAATTTTTTCACCATGGACTCGGTCCCTGGGACGAACCTAGTAACAATTTTGTGCATGTTATAGTTTTCACACTATAACTTTGAAATTAGTAAGAGAATGTTAATGAAATCTGGTACATTATCAGTAAACATTAAAATGCTTTCATATGCAAAATATCAATTTTTTTTTATTAAGTCTTAAGGTTTGTAAAGCAATGTTTTTCTCATACCTTTTTTTTCTCTTTGCATGTTGCCTATCTATCATGCAAAGTAATTTTCATTTAAGATTAAAAATACTTTTATGCATCAGAAACTTTTCAAATGAAATTTCGAGCAGACTAAAGACACACTCTACCTTGTTGAAATATTGGTTCAAAAGAAAAAAAAATGGTGCCAAGCCTGTTAAAAATGACTGAGAAAGCCACAAGGAGGATATTCTGAATTTCTGATTGGTTATTCATGTCATATATAGAAGTAAGTGTATATAAGGGAGTGTTACCAAAAATGGAAAGAGGTGGCCGTGGTACTATTGTGTTTGATTTATTACATGAGCAATATCTTACCAAATTGAAAGGATAAAAGGCTCTTATTTGATATTCTAGCTTGTCAATATCAGTAATTTGAGTTTCTAATTCGTATGAAATTATAGACTTTGTATTTTGAATTTAAAAACATCTAATTTGAACCTGTGCTGCATTCAACATACCATGTGACACACAAAAATCGATGTTTATCTGTATCTTTTAATATTTATTTTTAAATTAAGAAATTGAGTAATGTATAGTACTAAAATCTGAATTATAATCAACAGTTTGATACCAAAGTTATTGAGATAAATTCATGAAATAGTAGTTCAATAAAATTTTGAATGGGAGTCAACAAATGAGATCACATGGCTTTTCACCCGTGACCTGTCTTGAAAAGGTTAAAGTCACTAATTCAAACTTATTGAACAATATAAAAACATCCCAACATTTGACAGTTAACATTTAAGGATGTCAAAAGAATAGATGAAATTGTAAGAAGCATCTAAAAACAATTTTCCTAGTCTCTCAAACAGACATTATTTTCCTTAGCTTTACAATGTGTTTTTAAACCTAAGAATCTTCTCAATATATGTCTTGCTTTCATTTTTATTACACTGAAACACAACAGTCTACACCTCAATAAATTTTCTTTAAATAAGACGATTCATGCACTTTATATTTATTCAGAAAACAAATTTTAAACATTATTTTGAATCTTGCAATGAAATTGGAAATTAATTAAGTGTGAATGTATGTTGGAAAACTTTCATACCTCAAGATCAGCTCCGGCCAGGACAGCACCACGGAGATCACAATTTTGTAGATTGGCATTCTTCAATGTAGCAACTCTCAAGTTTACACCAGCCATTTGGCTGCCCTCAAGGTTTGCTCCTTTAAGATTAACTCCTTCAAAAATAAGTTTCCACATGAAGAATTTTAATCTTTAGATGTGCAATACTATTTCATCACTAATACAAACTTGTTTATTGCTAAAACACATTTCACTTAATAAAGATTATTTATCTTCACTAACTAAGTAAAATTTTATTCCTACAACAATCAACCACAAGTACAATTTTGTTTTATAAAATACTGTTAACTTTACAGTCCAAACTTATGAGTTACAATATCAAAGTTAACTTTAGCAAACCCCTCACAACTAACCAAAACATTAGTGGATTTCATCTGAAAGTCACCAGGTAATTGTTCTTAGATCAAGATGGCTCCTGAGTTCTGATGAGGTTAATACTACTTCAGATTGAGAATTTTGTAACTTGCTTGGCAATATTTAAGAATACTACTTGTATTTCTTACAAAAGTTATCAAAAAACAAGCAACATAATAAGTCAGTATGCAATGGCATATATAAAACTTCTATGGGACTTGTGTGTATAAAATAATGTCTAAGGTTAATTCAGTAAGTCAAGATAAGCAAAAGATATAGTCACAAATAACAGAATGAAAACTGGCTACTCTGGAAGTTTGGTGACGTTTTAAATGGCTGCAAAGCCTTGTATTTCAAATCTTTTAGCATAAAACATTGTTATTGTTCATTAAACATAATTAATGTACAAAAGTTACGAGATGTAGAGTGCAATCACTCTATTAACTCTCTTGCTATGAGGTCAGTCTAATTGACCAACCTCGTAAACACAATGTACTTGTTATAGTTTGCATACTATAATTTTAAATACATTATGTATATCTTCACAAAATTTGCCAGACTTTTAGCAAACATTACAAGTCTTTTGTATGCAAAAAATCAGATTTCTTAAAGAAGCATTTTTACTAAAGGTTTGTCTGTGAATATATATATATATATTACTTTTTTTTACTATTCTGAGTGCAAAGTGATTTCCATGTTATGATTAAAAATACTTTTCTTCATCTCAAAAACCTCAAATTTAATGTGCATAATTTATAAAGCTTCCTAAATAGATTTCAAACATTTTTTTCACTAAAACAAATCTAAATTACCTTTTTTCTCTTTCTAGAATGATTTCAAATTGTAACATGAAACTACATTTGTTTATCCTAAATAGTTTTAAAATTGTAACAGTATACATCTATTTATACTTAAATTTTATTGTATTATTGCCCTTTGAACTGTCTCTAACTACTATTCATGCCATTATAAGTGGTAAATCATTTGGTAAATGTGCAGCTCACATTATGATATCGAAGTACATTATGCATGAGCTACTAATGAGCATACCTCATGAAAATTTATTATTATTATTACATATTTTACCTAATCTAACCTTAGCTAACCTAAAAGTTTCCTATTTTTATATTTTAGTTACTTTTATAAAAATAAGTAAAGAATACACATGAAAAACAAGAAGTACTTAGCTGGGCCTTTTTTTGCTGTCAACTGTCACTTCACTTTCACTTTTTTCCTTAACTCTCGGAGTCAGTAGGGCACCACTGATGACTTTGTAACAAGCTCTTTCCATCTTTCCTGGTTTTCCACCGCCCTCTGGGAGTTGATGAACTCTAGGCCTGTCCACTCTTTGATGTTGTCTTCCCATCTCTTCTTCTGTCTGCCTCTTCTTCTTTTCCCTCTAATGGTGCCTTGCAAGATGTTCTTTGCCAAGCCACTTCAGTTTGCATTTTTTGACAGTGGTCAAGAGATCTCCATATGGTCCAACAGCTTGTTGGATTTTGTTGTTGGCCTCTTTGTTGGTAACATGGTTTTTATATGAGATGTGCAAGATTTTTCTGTAGCAACTGATTTTCATGGTCTGTATTCTTCTTTCTAGATCTGCTGTGAGGGTTCATGTTTCACAAACATACAGAAATATGGATATGACAAGGGAGCACAAAAGCCTAATTTTTGGAACTAAGAGTGATGTTGTTGTTGTTCCATATTGGTTTCAATTTTGCTAGCACTGTTGTTGTTTGCAGATTCCTGGAAAATATTTCAGGTTTGGAACCCTCATCAGGGACAATTGATCCCTAGTACTTGAAATGTTTTACTGTTTAAAGTCTTTGTCCACATACATTGATCTCAATGCTGATGGCGTTGGTATTGTTGGTCATCAGTTTAGTCTTCTCAACATTGATCTCCATGCCATTAGCTGTAGATATTTTGTTAAGGCATTCCAACAAGCTGGCTAGTTCTTGCTCTTCTCCTGCTAAGCCATCAATGTCATCTGCAAAAAGAAGGTTGGTGATTGGCCTGCCTCCAATACTGATAGTACCTGCATGATCTTCCAAGGCATCAGTCAATCCTTTCTAGAATGATGTTAAAGAGGGTGGGTGAAAGTAGGCATCCTTGTCGAACTCCAACCATTGTTTGACACCAGTCCCGTAAGCTGCTATTTATGAGGAATGCACTCATGGCTTTGTCTTAAAGGTTTTCAATGACTCGAACAAGATTGGCACTAACAGTGTACTTCCTCATGGTTGCCCATAAGGCTGCATGCCATACCCTGTCAAAGGCCTTCTTGAAGTCTGTGAAGACAAGATAAAGGTCTTGTTGATGTTGGAGATATTTCTCACAAAGGATCCCGAGATTGAAGATCTGTTCTGTGGTGCTTCGTCCTGCTCGAAACCCCACCTGTTCTTCAGCAATGATCTTTTCCATTTGGGGTTTGAGTTTGTTTAATATGATCTTCAACATGACTTTACTCAGGTGACTGAGGAGGCTGATTGCTCTGTAGTTTTGGCACAGCTGCAGGTTACCTTTCTTGGAAAGCATGATGAACACAGACTGGGTCCAAGTTGTGGGCCATTCTCCTGTCTGCCAGATCTTATTGTAGATTGTTGTGAGGGTGGTGATCAAGGCTTCTCCCCTGGTCTGAACCAGTTCTGCTGGTATGTTGTCAACTCCAGCTGACTTCCCTTTCTTCAGTGATCTCACTGAATTTTCTACTTCTTTCTGAAGTATAGGATAGTTCTCTTCAGTTATCTGAGGGCAGTGTGGTTGTATAGTTCTGAGCAGTATTCTATCCACCAATGGAAGATCTCTTGTTCTTCTATGAGGCATTTTCCTGATTTGTCTCGGATGGTAGTGGCTCACCCTTGTTTTACGGTTGTTACAAGTTAGTATGCTTTTTTACTGTTGTTCTTATTTAAGTTTTCTTCAATTTTATTGCAATGTTATTCTATCCAGTTCTCCTTTGCCTTCTTCATGCCTTTTTAAATTTTTTTATTGACTTCTCTGTATTTTTGCACTTCTTTGCTTTTTCTCTTTTTCAGTTCTCGTCTTTTGTCTCATAGGTCCAAAATATCTGGTGTGACCCAGATTTTCTTAGTCCAATGGTGCAAGCCAAGGATCTTGTTGGCTGTGTAAGTCACTGTTGTGTTAAAGGTAGTGATCATCAAATCTAGGTCTGTGTTTTTGTCACCTAAGATGGTAAGAGGTACAAATTTCCCACCAATCATTGCTTGGAAGGCTTCTGCCACATCAGGGGCCTTCATTTGCTCAAGCTTAAACTTGATTCTTGTGTACTTTGGTTTGCTGATTTTCTTCAAACTGAGATGAAAGTCATCATCAACAAGTCATGATCACTTCTGATGTCTCTCCTGGAAAACTTCGTGTTCTGGCAATGTTGACTCCTGTTCAAAAGCACTTTTTCACCATGATATAGTCAATCTGGTTATGATGTTGTCCATCTGGACTGTGCCAGGTCCATCTTCTGGATGACTTGTGAGGACCAAAAGTATCAGCTAACTCAAGGTTGTTATGTGTGGCAAACTCCAGGAGCCTGAGTCCTCTTTTGTTTGATTCAATATTGTAGAACCATCCACAGATGCCTTGCCAGTTTGTCTGTGCATCCTCAACAACTTTTGTATTACAGTCTTCTTGTATGACAAGGATGTCTTTTTTTGAGTGATTGATCTATTAGGTCCTGCAGCTGCTTGTAAAAGTCTTCCATCTCATCATAGTCAGACATTTGGGCATACACTTGTATTACTGTGATGTTGAATGGAGTTGCCCTCAGGCGGATGGTGATGAACCTGCTGGAGACCATGTGGCAACTCATAACAGTGTTCATATTGTTTTTGTTTACAAGGAATCCATGTTCATGTTTGTCATCTTTGCCACTGAAGTAAACCTTGTGTCATTCCTCACTTGCTGTTTCCCCAAAGTGTTTCCAATGCATCTCACAGAGTCCAAGGAGGTTACAGCAGTACCTGTCCATCTCATGTGTAAGTTCTCTCAATTTCCCTGTGGCTCTCAGTGTCCTAACGTTCCATGTACTGATGGTGATGTTGTTTCTCCTAAGAAACGTAGTGGTAGAAGCACCAGTAGCATACCTATCACGTCTGTCCTGGTTTGAGGTGGAAGGCACAGCCATTGGTAACCTGTGCTGAGACCAATCTGGTATGGGTTGAGTATTGGTTGTCATCATGTGGTATGTCTTAGGCAGCTGCAACCTGGTGGCACCCATCTTCTCTCTCGGTTGGTTTACCACAGCCAAAATCCACCATACAGTGTGGCACACCCTGGTCCCGAACATGTGGCCATTGAGCTCATCCAAGAGCCCTTTTGCCCTGGCCTTTGACTTCATTGAGAAAGATGTCCACCCAGTGATGTCATGTCAACATCACACCTTTTTCACCAATGGTTGGGAGATTCGTGGAGGGCTGGAGCATCTTATTCCATCCCACAAATAACACTTAACCCTACTTTTTTTATACTAATGCTAGTATTGCACTAAATAATTTTGAATTTAATTAAATAATGCATCAAAGAACACAGAATAATAACACGCAAAAGCAGATGACATCCCATAACTATCACAATTTTTCTGGCTTTCTAACTATACAACAAGAACCGTTATAAATTCATCTAAGCTAGTTGATGTCTTTCCCATGGGAATAAAGCTTGTACTGAAAGTAAAACTGACAATTCTCTGAACAGAAAACAATGTAACATAATGTGTCATTTGACAGATGAAAACCTTGGCTTTATATTGGTTATAAATATTATAGTATTGAACGTCTGTGAGAACTACTGACAAATCCTGAAAGAGAGAATGTGATAGGTGGGTGTGATAAGAGGGGGTCTGATTTCCTATTTGATGGCTAAGTAACCAAGTAAGATTGAAAGCTATGAAGCGATGATGACATTATAAGAAGTAATTTACATCAAATTTTGTACTTCTTGGACAGTTGGTAAATACAGTTGAAAAGAGAGAAAATGTTACAATTCTCACACTAGGGGAAATTCAAGATTTGTTTTAAACATTGCCTTATAAAATTAAGAACTTAAAACTTACATATTTTTAAAATACAGATTATTAGTTACACTTATTGGTATGCCAGGAAAAGAAAGTGGTTTTATTAAATTTTGAATGTAACTCACAAAAATCCATGTGAAATGCACAGACAAAGATGCTCATGGAGAGAGAGAGAGAGAGGGTTAATACAGTACAATCAAAAAGATACAACCAAACCAGCCAATCAGTCAGAGATGGAAATCTGACTTCCGTATGAGCAATTCCTTACCTTCCATATTAGCTCTACAACCAGCAGGATCTTCCATGTTACAACCCTGAAGAATTGCACCCTCGAGGTTTGCACATAACATCTTTACTCCCAAAAGAACTGCCCCCTAGTGAAAGAAATGGAAATACATCATGAAAGTTTGTTTTCAGCCATTTTACTAATAAATTTACATTTTAGATCACAAAAAATTAAAACTGCTGATAACTCAAAAAATAATTTATAAAGAATTAGTAACACATTTTTACAGTCCATCATAAAGACTATTATACAAGTCATTTAAAAATGAGGGTGCTCCTTGGTGACTGAAAGACGCTATTTGAATTCAATTCTGTTTTTATTCATATTCCTTTCAGTCTGGGAAAATAGTACAAATTGTATCTTCATCAAATTTACGCTGTACATTGGGCTTTCTAGAATCCATAAAAGCATTTTATAATTCCTGCTTCAGTTTGAAAAGCCAAACCTGTTAATTAAATTGAAACTACTTTAAGTAATTTTTCTATTTTCAATAAAATACAATAATAATAATCAATATATGTTACGTATCACATGCAAATAATTGTAGCATTTCGTTACTTAAAGGCATATATACTTAAACATCTCCTAGTCCCAACTGCACAAATAAAGCCTTGGAATCTATAAGAAAGGAGAACTGAATGCTATGAAACTTTGCAATTAGTACAAATTATTGTGTAAAAAAACATAACTAGAGTAAATTGTTAAGTATGAGGGGTTAGATCATATTGTTAAGTACTTTGGGTTTATTTTTTAAAAAAGTCAATACTGTGAGAACATAAAACTCAAGAAGTTTTCACTTGTAAATTGTTTACCTTTAACTTTTATAGTTTTAGCAAAGCAATGCTACCAAAATAATATGTTCTATACAGTAAAGAGTACAAAAATGGTTATCAGTATTTTACATTACAGAACAAGCTAATAACACCATCGATACTAGGAATTAAATAAGTACATACTGCGTTCATACGATCTTATGAACGTATATTCAACAAACATAAGTTCCGATTTTACGTGTGAAACACATGACTGTACTCTGAAGTAACTAACAAGTCTACACAGTGGTGTTTCTCCATACCTCTGCAGTAAAGATTAAGTGAAGATCAAGGCAGCACAGAGGACGTTTGATATACCTATGTAGTGAAGGTAGATAGAAAGAGACAGTGTTCAAAACTTCCATGATTGGATCCTGAACTAACTGCAATTTCTGCTGGAAAGAAGTATTTATTTACTGCCTTTCCACTTGAAACTTTGTAACATTGATAATTGTTTAAATGTATTTTGTATTAGTAATATTGAGTATGAATATCCATGGATGATAAGATAGTGTAGTCAGATGTGTAGATGAGTGGAAATGAAAATGTGCATCACTGCAACTGTTCTCTTACTGTGTTTAAATGTACTACTTACCAAAATCTCTGTGTTTGTTTATTTGTTGGATTAACTATACTCTGTCCACTGTGAAACCCAAATTTTAGCATTATAAGCCCTCAGACTTACTGCTGTGTTACTGTTGTGTGTGGGGGGAATCTGTGTGCATGTATTTTGTACACATATGTGCACACTCCTTATGTACATTCACAAAATCACATTAGTTAAAAAATTACAAGTTATATTTGAGAGAAAGAGAATTTAATTTGTGAAGAAACAAAATACTATAAAAGTACAGTGTGATAGAGAAACTTTGCTACTTGTGTAGCTACTTTTTCTGCAAAGCATAGAGACAGTTCAAGAAAGCGTACTTTGGTGGTTGTTTTTGTAAAGCACAGCAAATAGGCAAAGTTAGGTAGTAGTATTTTTGTTTCAGTTATAGTTTGAAAATTCAGATGTTTTCAAACATAAGTAGCTCTTCTCTCACACTGTGTGACAAAGGTGCAGAGTTTAGCTTTGTAAAAGCTCTGTCTATTCCCTTCTAGTCACAACCATGTAAATGAGAAAGCAATAAATCAACTAGAGAGCAGATCATAGTCTAGCTACAAGGCTACATTGCTGCCATGTGAAATGGTTCTCACAATACCTAAGAACCAGGCAATTTGCTTGCAGGGAGAACAGCATTCTGTATTTTTTATGAACATATAGGTAGCCAAGTTTTATCGTAATACATTATAGAAGTTTGGATGAATTGCTGCAGCAGAATGCACTTTGTTTTAATAAGTGATAAATCTGCATTGTCAACCATGCATTGACAGCATGGGAAACTATGATACATATGGTTGAAGATAAGTTTTACCAATTGTTATGCTATAATGAGACTTGAATCTCCAGTAACCATATTGTCAACCATGCGTTGAGAGCATGGGAAACAATGATATATATATAGTTGAAGATAAGTTTTACCAATTGTCACGCTATAATGAGACTTGAGTCTCCAGTAATCATATTGTCAACCATGCATTGACAGCATGGGAAACTATGATATATATATGGTTGAAGAT